CTCAAAAACAAAACAAAATTTCGTTCTGAAAATACGATCACATTTTTATATTACTTTAATTTATATTAATTATTATTTTCTGGAGACAAATGATTCAAAATAAAACCGCTTGGTTCCATACTTTATATTCACCCTGTATAAAAAAGTCATGGATTTAGTACAGTGGTTATAAATGAATTTCATCTAGCCAGCTTTGGAATTTTTTTGCATTTGTGTCGCTCTACTTTTTTTAAAAGCTCTAGTTCTGTCATTAGTGTCACTTATTAATTAATAATAAATTGTTATTAATCAAACTTTTATTGTTTCAACTAATTTCCAATAATAATTGATAATAATACATACTTTGGAAGAAAACAAGTTTATAATTGAAGTCTCTTTTCGAAGTGGACGCTTAGTAAACGGCGATTTTTTAATTTTGAGTTAAAACAAGTAGCTACCCCTATTTTCGTAAAGCGGCATTTTTTATTTTACATGGAAAATTCACAGCTGGCTAGATGAAAATCATTTATAACCACTTTGTATTATGTTTATTCTATGTCTATTCTTATACATACAATAATTTTGAACTTTTACCCCAAATAAAGTTATCAAATAAATAAATTAAACCAAATAATATTTGCATCTTCTTTTCTTAACAAAAAATAATAACATGCTTCCTTTCGACTAGGTTTTCCAAGACAAAATCAACCAGTGTTGCCAGGTGAAAATTTTTGTAATCCCTAGATTTAGTTGTCAAAAATCCCTAAGGATTGCCAAATCTATTTAAATTTTAAGTGTTTATTGGATTGCATAACAAAATAAGAATTTCAAAAAAAGTTTATTAAAACCATTTTTGATTAAACAAATATAATAAATAAAACATAACTTACACAATTGACGTAAAATATAGTCTAAACAAACTAAATAGATATTAATTTAATTAAAAAAAAACAAAAACTAATAAAAAATATAATAATAATTCGTAATTCGTAATAATATCAACAGATCGGTCGATATATTTATAACCTGGAGATATCACGTGGTTAGAGGATATACTTATTTCGCATAAGTCATTATTAATGGAGAAGTCAGGAGTTACGTATTTTCTTATCTAAAACTTTCTTGGATTTACTTGTGGTACTACTTCCCTCCCGAAAAATTACAGTGATCTTCATAATTCCCATCAACTCGTGTCAAGTTTCTTTAACTTTTTGTTGATAGATGGTGTTGCCTGGTGTTGTTTTTTTTTTAAACATTTTATTAATGTGAATTATTAAAAAAAAAATTAAACTTGAAACCCTGAACACAAAAACAAAGAAAAAGCGTCTCCCAAAAAATTGTTTCAAGATTTTTAAAAAATCCCTAGATTTTGTCAGCGAAAAATTCCCTAATTTGGCATCATTGTTGCCAATTGCCGCGTCACGTGGTCCGTTTTCACGTCACGTGACTTTATTTTCACAGTGGATTTTCGCCGTTTTTACTCACTTTCTCAATGTAGTACTTTTCGATGGCTCGTGTGGCACAATCCACTGCGTCCTGCTGCATATCCTCGCTCATATCGCCTTTTTTGATGACTACTTTGCGGTCGGTCATCTTGTCGGCGGTGTTGTGGTGGTGGTGCTTGTTATTGGACCTGCAAAGGGGAGGATTACTTGTAGGGGGGCACTTTCTGTACACAGCGCCCAAATCTCTAATTCGGACGCTGGCTCTAGCGATCAGTTCTGCCATAACTGGCACAACCAAGCTCTAGTTTTATCAATAGGAAAATCATTTGACAAACATGCGATCATCTCTGATTGATTGATTAATTTCTCGTTTGTTCTACTCACGTGAGATTTACCCCGGAAAAGTGCTGGAAAAACTCCAACTGTCAAACGTTTACACTTTTTCGAATTTTCTCCTTGTTGAAAAGCTAGATTTTTCAATTTTTTACACACGAGTGGCTTTCAATCGCACGAGGGCTAAAACTACAACTGACAATTGATGTGTGATTGGTCGCCGACTAGGGGCCTCTGGCAGGAGGGTCTGGCAAACGTACGCTGATTGGTCCAATGCAAGACAGTGGCGTGCATCATGCACTAGCATGCAATAAATCAATTTTTACTGTACCAATTGATTGTCAATTTAAAGCTGTCTGAAAATGACGCTTTTACGGTTTTGTGGCTCATAGGAGGCACGACCGGGGGCTAAAAGCAGAAAAGTGATCGTGACGATATTTCCCGGTGACAAGCGTGGGATTCACATGCAAGAAATGCCCAAAAAAACAATCGTCAGGATGAGTGCAGGTGAAAACGGCCTTCACGCGACGACCTACAACCAAAATAGGTGTTAAGTTTGTCTTGTCATTTTTGAGGTTATGTCAAATAAAATTGTGTTTCCCTATATGAAATTAACACGAAATATGCGTAATCATGCAAGTAACAGTTCTCTACCACTTTTAATTAAACAAATTAGATTACTTTCGAATTATTAAAGAATTAAATTCGGGATCACGTCCTGTGATTAGACAAAATGGCCGATGCAAACAAAAGACAATAAACAATTCTGATTGTAAATTTTAGTTTAAAATCAATTAAAAACGTGTAATTTGCCACAAAAACACATCGGATTACTTACCCCTGACCATTTTACACTATTTCCTTTCTTTTTTCGCCCCCAAAAAAACACACAACTTGAACAAAAATCGAACTCAAACGATAATAAAACGCGGCCCGGGTCAATTTAACGTTTTTCGTGGCGTTTCTACATTTTTTCGGTCATTTGTTGATGTTTGAAATTGATAAACTGGCTTGAAACCACTACAAGCCAAGCGTCGCAAAGTCAAATTCGACTTGGCTTTGATTGGGCGAGTTTGGTCACGTGTGTGTGGCTAWGAGGCGGGTAATTCAAACTGGTCGAATCTTTAACCATGTATTTGCTACATATAGAAATTACATTGTATYAAAATAAGGGGTTAAAGAGTCGAGGAGAGATTCGGGATGGGATTCGGGTAGGTTTGAGAAGAAAATAACATTAAATGTACAGTTAAGTCCTAAGCTAGTGAGTGAAGAGAGAGCGATATTTGAATTTAGTTCTTCTAAATCATAACYATTGCCTAACTAATTCATTAATCTTAACTAAAGCAAGTCGCTTATTAAAAACCATGCCCATCCCGTGGGTTTTTTTTTATACAAAAATATATCTTGTACAGTAGTGTCACTTGTTGAGATCTATGTRGGCAATAATTGAGTTACTGCCCACGTAAAAATCAAAAAAGTGGCACTTCCTCTTCTAGAGGAAGAAGCAAGCAAATAATTGATTTTAGTTCTTCTAAATGTAGCGGCAGTGACTCAAGTCATTTAAAAGAACTAAACCTTTGATATCACTTGGAGCTGTTAGCTTAAAATGGACGCTATGTCACGAGTAAACGCTCCATAAATRATTTAAGAAGTAAACAAAAATTATAACCTACATTCAAGTATAACAAAACTTAACTACAACTTTAGTAAAGATGGCTTATATATAGATTAACAACTTACGGAATAAGGATTCTTAGTATATGAATATATTTAGCAACCAACATTCACTGTTGAGGAAAGGGCCGACCAAGAAATGTTGATTTTACGTGCATTTAAAGCCCATCTAGAATTGTGCGTTCCAATCAACATTTCCCCGAAAAAATCACTAAATAAAAATAATTTAATCAAGAAAAAGTTATATTCATATAATATACACCAAAAACATCCCAAGTTTTGAATTTAGATATCCATTTTCGACTCACCCACGCCTAAAATTCATCAAAAAAACACACTTGCTGATTCGAAAATGGTATAAACCGAAATGTAAAGTGACGAAAAACATAGCTAAATACACAATACGTCTGGTTTTTGTTGTTGTTGTTAAGTATTTAAATTTTTCCTTGGAATACTGTGGTACAGGGAATGATAATTTAACCGCTCTTGAATAGAAGTATCGCCACTTGGCCCAAATAGAAATAGATGAAATGACGGGTCTCGTGGGTCACATACGAGCCGAAATTTCGGCCCACGATGCAGTGCCACGTCGGGTTGTACTTCTTGTCAAACTCTTTCTTAATGTACMCCGCAATGTCCTGAAACAAACGTTTTATTAATTGAAATATTCTTGAATTTAACTCTGAGAATTAAAGGGATAAAATATCTCCGAAACTAACTGGAATTTTTGCTTATTTTTTTTAATAAAAGATATGTGTTATATGCTTTGCATATAACACAATTTTTGCGTTTTCCAAAAAAGCTAGTTATTACATTTTTATCGAATTAAATGTAATTTTTTTTTGTTCTTTAATTTTGCTCATCGCAACTGACAATAAATGCCACAATTGCGAAATAATCCCGATATTTACTTCATCGTTGAGGTTTTAACACAATTTTTACATCAGTAGGTACCTTTCTAAGGTAATAAATAAAATTAAAAGTAATTATCAAAAATATAGTAAGTACATTTTTTTTTGCCCACGCCGATTTTGTCAGATAAAAATCTTTATTTTTATACCAGGCAATTTTCAATAGTAACTTGTATTTGAGTGACGACGTTATCATGACATTTTTAAGAATTGTGAATAAAAAAACATTTTTTTTACGAAATCAATTGTACAAAAACTTGTAAATTAGTTTCTTGCTAATTGTCAATAAACTGCACTAAATCTGTTGATTACTTTATTTTGTCCGACAATAATAATTCTTGAAAAAAAAAAATTTTTGTTTTGTAGTAGTTCATAACTGGGTGAAAATTAGTTCAAGTGGATGCAGTTGTGAGGGAAACAAACACGTGATGTTTGTCAGAAGAGAAAGAAGTCATAATTTGCAAAAAATGTAGATATTATTGTCACGACAGAAATATGGTTTTACAAAAATCAAATGTTTTAACAATTATATTAATATTATTAATAGTATTAATTTAAAAATAATTGCATATTTAGATAAACAAACAATACAGAGAAAACAATTATAATACAGTGCGATCAAAAAGTCTTTCTATTACGTAGGCGCACGTATGTCGCATGGCATTTCGTATATTAGCTAGATGTCAAAAAATTATTTAATAATTTAATATTTTCAAAAATTTAATTTACATTAATATTGGAGCAGAAATCTAAAAATTGTTTTTAACAAAATGTCAAAATAAATGTTTATGTGGTGATCAACCACCAACAAATGTACAACAAATAAATTAAAAACCAATCGAAAATAAAATTTAATCCAATTTTTAAAATTTATGCAAAATCACTATCATCATCACTTAGGATTATTCAGTTTAAATCTGACCACCTTGGGTACATATTTCATTGGTTGTTAAGAAAACCAAATGGGCGGGGCAGATACAAAAGTCATGGTTTTAGTATAATGTCTATTTTTATACATAGAATAATTTTGAATTTTTACCCCAAATAAACTTGTCAAATAAAAAATTAAACCAAACAATATTTGCATCTTCTTTTCTTAACAAAAATAATAACATGCATCCTTTCCACTAGGTTTTCCAAGACAAAATCAACCAGTGTTGCCAGGTGAAATTTTTTGTAATCCCTAGATTTAGTTGTCAAAAATCCCTAAGGATTGCCAAATCCATTTAAATTTTAGGTGTTTATTGGATTGCATAACAAAATAAGAATTTCAAAAAAAGTTTATTAAAACCATTTTTGATTAAACAAATATAATAAATAAAACATAACACAATTGACGTAAAATATATTCTAGACAAACTAAATAGATATTAATTTAATTAAAAAAAAACAAAAACTAATAAAAAATATAATAATATAACCTGGAGATATCACGTGGTTAGAGGACATACTTATTTCGCATAAGTCATTATTAATGGAGAGTTCGGGAGTTACGTATTTTCTTGTCTAAAACTTTCTTGGATTTACTTGTGGTAAAAATTACAGTGATCTTCATAATTCCCAACAACTCATGTCAAGTTTTTTTTAACTTTTTATTGATAGATGGTGTTGCCTTTAATTTTTTTCTATTTTTTTTTTAAACATTTTAATGTGAATTATTAAAAAAAAACTTAAAACCCTGAACACAAAAAGAAACAAAAAACGTCTCCCAAAAAATTGTTTCAACATTTTTAAAAAATCCCTAGATTTTGTGGGAAAAAACTGAAAAAATCCCTTTATCCCTCAGACAGTTTCAAAATCAACGCAATAAACACCTTTTTTGTCAGTGAAAAATTCCCTAATCTAGAATCATTGTTGCCAATTGCCGCGTCACGTGGTCCGTCTTCACGTCACGTGACCTTATTTTCACAGTTTTGTCGTGGATTTTCGCCGTTTTTATTCACTTTCTCAAAGTTGAAACCCTGAACACAAAAACAAACAAAAAGCGTCTCTCAAAAAATTGTTTCAAGATTTTTAAAAAATCCCTAGATTTTGTGAAAACAACTGAAAAAATTACTTTATCCGACAGTTTAAAAATCCCTAGATTCGGAAAAAATCCCTACACCTGGCAACTCTGAAATCAACGCAATAAACTCCCCTTTTGTCAGTGAAAAATTCCCTAATCTGGCATCATTGTTGCCAATTGCCGCGTCACGTGGTCCGTTTTCACGCCACGTGACTTTATTTTCACAGTTTTGTCGTGGATTTTTGCCGTTTTTACTCACTTACTCTCTCAAACTTGAAACCCTGAACACAAAAAATAAAGAAAAAGCGTCTCCCAAAAAATTGTTTCAAGATTTTTAAAAAATCACTAGATTTTGTGAGAAAAAACTGAAAAAATTCCTTTATCCCTCAGACAGTTTAAAAGTCCCTACACCTGGCAACCCTGAAATCAACGCAATAAACATCCAGTGAAAAATTCCCTAGTCTGGCACCATTGCTGCCAATTGCCGCGTCACGTGGTCTGTTTTCACGTCACAGTTTTATCGTGGATTTTCACCGTTTTTACTCACTTTCTCAAACTTGAAACCCTGAACACAAAAAGCGTCTCCCATTTAATTGTTTCAAGATTTTAAAAAAATTCTTAGATTTTGTGGAAAAAACTGAAAAAATTCCTTTATCCCTCAGACAGTTTAAAAATCCCTAGATTCGGGAAAAATCACTACACCTGGCAACCCTGAAATCAACGAAGTCTAGCCCTTTTCGTCAGTGAAAAATTCCCTAATCTGGCATCATTGATGCCAATTGCCGCGTCACGTGGTCCGTTTTCACGTCACGTGACCTTATTTTCACAGTGGATTTTCGCCGTTTTTACTCACTTTCTCAATGTTGTACTTTTCGATGGCTTGTGTGGCGCAATCCACTGCGTCCTGCTGCATGTCCTCGCTCATATCGGCGTTTTTGATGACTGCTTTGCGGTCGGTCATCTTGTCGGCGGTGTTGTGGTGGTGGTGCTTGTTATTGGACCTGCAAAGGGGAGGATTACTTGTAGGGGGGCACTTTCTGTACACAGCGCCCAAATCTCTAATTCGGACGCTGGCTCTAGCGATCAGTTCTGCCATAACTGGCACAACCAAGCTCTAGTTTTATCAATAGGAAAATCATTTGACAAACATGCGATCATCTCTGATTGATTGATTAATTTCTCGTTTGTTCTACTCACGTGAGATTTACCCCGGAAAAGTGCTGGAAAAACTCCAACTGTCAAACGTTTACACTTTTTCGAATTTTCTCCTTGTTGAAAAGCTAGATTTTCAATTTTTTTCTCACGAGTGGCTTTTAATCGCACGAGTGCCAAAACTACAACTGACAATTGATGTGTGATTGGTCGCCGACTAGGGGCCTCTGGCAGGAGGGTCTGGCAAACGTACGCTGATTGGTCCAATGCAAGACAGTGGCGTGCATCATGCACTAGCATGCAATAAATCAATTTTTACTGTACCAATTGATTGTCAATTTAAAGCTGTCTGAAAATGACGCTTTTACGGTTTTGTGGCTCATAGGAGGCACGACCGGGGGCTAAAAGCAGAAAAGTGATCGTGACGAGATTTCCCGGTGACAAGCGTGAGATTCACATGCAAGAAATCGCAAAAAAACACTTACTTTAATGCACTTTCCTAAATTCAGACGGTTTTTACAGTGGGAAAGCACATTTGGACCCAACTACACCAAGTCACTGCGCTATTAATTCGCGAGATCGATACGACACTGGTGCGCAGACACGCAATTTCAAACCACGCGCCCGAAAACAGGCCAGCCAACACGAAAAACCTGTCCCCAAAAAACAAATTTTATTTTAATTACGCAATTATTTCCTATTCATTTCTAATTAAAATAATAAAACAAGTTTTGTTTTAATTACGCAATTCTAATTAAATTACAAACCAAAAAAGTGATTTATAAAATTTCTACGCCGCTGTGTTCTGTCAACCCGCCATCTTTGAATTCGAAAAAATGCGCCCCGAGTTGCTCGAAATGGGTAAAAACCAGCCCCAATGGTCGAATCAATACTCAACCATTTCAAGACTCATGGAAAACCAGATCGCAGACTTGCGTTCCACCTACCGCAAGACCCTGATGATGCGTTACGAAACGTCCATTCTGGGGCTCCAATTGTTGAAGACTATGAAACAGCTCCAACAAACTAAACAAATCCTTGAAAATCTCGAGTCTGACTCAAGTGAAATGTAATCAAAGTGTTAATAAATAAGTTTTGTGTAATTTCATTTTATTTACATACATGGAATGTGGCGATAAGTACGTTAAGTGAATGATATCACATAAAACCTAAATTAAACGATAAATTGTTCCGTTTCTTAATACTTAACAGATTTATCACAGAATAATTAGTAATTTTGTCGGATTACATGAGCATTGGAACGTTTAAAGCACTGTTAATTACTATAATTACAACGGTGTGTACTCGTCGGGGCTGTCACTGCGCCCCCCGGTTACTCTCAACGAGCACCTGCCGTAAGCCCCCCTGTCCAACTCTTTCTTATTAAAATTATCGATAATGGTCCGCACAACGGAAGCCCCACTTTCAGACTCGCAAGGCTTGCGTCGAGACATCAAAGGAGTCCCCGAAACCCTCATATAACGCCTCCGGGACGAACACAAATTATTATAATCGGGGTTTTTGGTCAATGTGGACGAGACCACATCTGGGATACTTTTCTTTTGTACTATAGAATTATTAACGAATTTTTGGGTCACTCGGGAGGGGCACATCGTATTCAAACTGATACTCTGAAGACTCAAATTCGTCCCCAATTTCAAGTTGGCAGCCTTGTCACTTTTTACAAACTCGACGTTCTCATAATTTGGAAATTCGACACTTTCGACTTTCGGTTTTTCGGCCATTTTGCCCTCTTTGATCGGCTCCAGGGCCGGACTTCGGTGTCCCGAAATGCTATCAGGGGTGTTACTCCCCGACGAACTCGGACTTATGCCTCTATAATGTTGAATATCGAAGAGTAAATCAGGTGGGAGTGGCATTCCCACTGATAAATGCATAGAAAGACTTTCTAACCAAACTTCCATAACCTCAAATGGCGGCCTAAAAATGACAGTTAATAGTCATGTGATTAAAATGACGGTTCAGGATTGGTTACCGTTTATCAGGATTGAGATCAGTGCATAAGAATGCAATTTTGTAGAAGGCTTCAGGACAAGAACCACAGAATTTCTCTTTGAAGGTCATTTGATTAAGACCAAAATCGTTGGAACGAGGGAGGAAATCAGGGTCGGCCAAGACACGCCCAATAATCTAATAATAAAAGTGGAATTTACACAAAATTATACAATTTTAACCTACAGTCGAACAAAATGAAAATGACGCCTCAATAAACCAGCCCTTGCTGGATGCAAGGATAAATTTCTATAAGAGCCGGTTTACAAAAAGCGAAATGAAAATTTAATTCAGAATTAAACTAATTCGAATTAAGTTGCCATTTATTTTACATTGACAAACGTCAAATTAATTAATTGAAAACATTGCATTTTTTTAATGAAAAATTTTAACAAACCATTTCTTAAAGAAAATTATGCATTAATAATGACATTGACGAAAAAACAAATCATTATTAACTTAATAT